AGTTTAACGTTGAATATTATTTATGATTTTAACTTTATACCCAAGTGCCAAAATACTATAATACACATTTATGTTTCTAACTACTGCCCCTGGTGTTGACTATGTAAGTTGTAACTGACGAAATATTAGAACAGTCTTAGCAAATAACATTCTGTAGGTACATTATACGTACCTAGTGTGTACACTATGTGTGTTATGGTAGTACAAATAATGGTAAAAATATTACGTGCACCAAAACCAACCTCTCTGTTCACTTGCTTCTCTCGTTTTAGCTAACTTGTGAAGTTCATCGTATAACCTGCTGTTTTGCTCAATCTGCAGCCGCCTTCGTGCAATCTCCTCTTTTACTTTGGCTTTCTTTTCTTCTCTTGTCATCTGGTCATCTTCATCTTCAGACACGTAGGGCGAGGGATGCCACGATCTAGGTTTCCTAGATTTCTTTTCTTTCCGTGTTTTTCTATCACTTGTAAGGAACTGAGCAGTTATATTTCTCTCCCATTGGTCAATTTCTCGGTTGAAGGTTGCAGGCAAGGTGCGAGATGATCCTTCGCTCGTTCTACGGCTTCTAAACAAGTAACATGTTAAAACATGAATATTTTTTTACTGTGATGAAACACTTTGGTCAAAACCAAACAAATCTTGTTTATATAACTAGCTAAAGCTTTTTATACCTACAACAATTAGGTTTTGGGTGATTTATTAGTTCTTCGTCCAATTCATTGTATGCATTTATGAAGAGTTTCTGTTCATTTATATGTTTGGTTGCTCAATGATATGCATTTTTAGTACTCCAGTACGTGTTCGATAACGGTAACCCATTTTCTTTATAATACAGAAAAGAATCTGATTGTGAAGAAGCATATTAAAACGCCATTAACACAGATGGAATCCCAGTTTAGACAACTTTTTTGTTGCTTCTGTACAGCCTACGGTTAGTAATGAACAATAGTATTTCGTGAAAGCGATTTAATCGAATGGAGAGCTCTGAAACATTGCATTCGAAATGCGTTAAACATTTCCATACTCATTGAAAGTCGGAATCATTTGATATATAAGCCACCACAAAGAAATACACAAAGAAAATATTTGGACTTTAACTTTAATAAGCTCACAAAGAACTTGCTAACATCTTAATTTATAATAATTAGAGAACCTGTGAACATTATTTTCGGTTGCAAAACAGTGAAAAATGTTCTCAGAAACTAAGATTTAAAAAAATCATATGAGCAAACTAAAGGATATTGTTGAACTGCATTAAAGTAAACGATATGTGTTGAACTGCATTAAAGTAAACGATATGTGCTGAACTGCATTAAAGTAAACGATATGTGTTGAACTGCATTCAAGTAAACGATATGTGCTGAACCGCATTAAATTAAAGGATGTGTGTTGAACTGCATTAAAGTAAACGATATGTGTTGAACTGCATTAAAGTAAACGATATGTGCTGAACTGCATTAAAGTAAACGATATGTGCTGAACTGCATTAAAGTAAACGATATGTGCTGAACTGCATTAAATTAAAGGATATGTGTTGAACTGCATTCAAGTAAACGATATGTGCTGAACCGCATTAAATTAAAGGATATGTGTTGAACTGACATTCAAGTAAACGAT